TCATCCTGCCCCCTTACTGACCATCTTTCAGACTCTCGCCTCATCTGTGTATGGGTTGATTCCCGATAAAAATTTGTGCCAACTTTCCCTTCTTGCCTGTCGACGCGTTCTCCTGCCTTGCGATTTAATGTTGTAGAAGAGGCCCTGAAACACTCTTTGAGTAACCATAAAATTAATTCACTGGAAAAGCGTATTACCTCATAAATACGACGCAAAAATTTTAAGAATCCGTCCAGTACGAGCAGAGTTACAAAGATTTGTCACACGCTGATATCGCATTCTCTCTTCTCTCGTCCCAACGAAAGTGCTGGAAGCTAAGCAGGGATGGATGAGAGAGGCAAACAAACAAATAACGTCACACCCACCTCGTGACTTTGAGCATTTTTTTTCTTTTTTTTTTCTTCGAACACGCCGCTTTTTCAGTGCGATCGAGCGCACACGCGTGGACAAGTGACGGCCTCTCGCGGCGACCTCTGTAACAACCGAGCGCGCCATGTTCAAATCAGCCAATGGCTAATAGATAGGCAATCTATGTGTAATTTTCGAGCGTCTTCCGTCATCTGTCGAGGTAAGAGAAGGCTATTTTTAGCTGACCTTGATAATTTATTGTGAAGTCAAGGCCACGTGCTGCACTATAATATTTGGCTCGCAAGTTGTCGGAAGCCTCTACTACCGATCGGTAGCATTTTCTGACCATGCTAAAAAAGTGTTGCAGTGCCCCTTTAAAGTTTATAAGATTCTGCGACATCGGTGAGTCTCTGAGTACTTCCATGCTTTATTTTGTTATTTGCGCGCATTACAGCACTCATTATTATTCCACCATGGGACTCATCGTTTGGCTGACGAACCGCATGTTTGTGGTATACATTTCGTTGCACCATCAATCAAGAAAGCTGTCGAGTAGCTCACAGCAATTTCTATGCTTAACATCCCATGTCAGTCCAAGTTAGGGGAGTCATTTTTTGAAACTGTTCCCAATCGGCTTTAATGGTGAGCTATTTGGAAACCTGTGGAAAACATGCATTTGATATTGATGTGCTGCGGACTATAGGAAAATGGTCACTACCGTATAGATTATTGATGATTTTTTATTTAAGTAGAGGTAGGAGTGATAGAAATGTTATGCTGAGATCTATTGACGACTAGGTATTGTTAAATATATTGCGATATGTGGGCTTTTTGCGATTCAGGAGGTTCACGCCGGAAAAAAAAAAAGGAACTGTTCAATCAGGCGACCTTGCGCATTGCAGCGAGTGTCGCCCCATAAGCTATTATGCGCATTATAGTATCCTAGGACAACATCGGGTTCTGGAAGTTGATCTATGAATGACTGAAATTCATGTTTTGTTTTTTTTTTTTTCAGAACTTGGGTTTGGAGGTATATAAAGAGGGCAAATTGTGACCAGTTTGTTGAAGAGAACAGCTCGGACGGCCACTGCCTCAAGGGGTGTTTGAAGCGGTAAATGTGCACAACCTGTTCTTTGATCAACTACGATGGCAATACTGCCAGACAGCATCATCCCGATCCTTTCAAAAAATAGTGTAACTGCATAAGAAATTTGTGTGCTTGAATTTTAAGTGTGTTTCTTGCACACACAGCACTTTTGGTGTATGTTTGTGTAGAAGTTCTTGGATATCATCGAGGCTTTTCAGCAGTCCTCTGACGTTCCACTGTAGTATTTGCGTCATTTTACTGTTGTGTGGTGCTGTGTAAAGTGATTGCTTTATGTTACAGGGCCTTTTGGGGGCCCTATAATTCAGGGTTTTTCTTTTTTGGCGTGCTCAATTGTACCTATCTTTTGGCGCCTGAGGCGCCGGAGTAGGTGGACTTGTATCCATCAACTCTTGTGAGGAGGCGGATGCTGCCTGTCCAGCAGGCACCTTCACAGTAGTTTTGGACCTAACTGCGCTTTTAGTGGCCCAGGGTGCGGCAGACATGGGAACAGGAATCTGATGGCCCTGTTTGTCAAGTGGCGGAGCAGTACAGACTGTTCCAGCCGGGGATGCTCATAGCGCGACCGCAGTCACGCTCTGTGTGACACTTGCGGGCACGGAAAAGTGTGGCGCAGCGCCTCAGCGCGTCACATCAGCAACGGAGGGAATGAACTGATGGAGTGCAAGCCATTTGCATGCCTCTTGAAAGGATAGATTGAATTTCACTTTAAGCTCGAGGATTTGTTTTTCTTTTTTCCAGGATGGGCACTATCGTGAGTAGGTGGGATGATCTCTTTCACAGTTTGCACAGCGGGCTGCTGCAGTACGTTTGTCTGATAAGTGTTCGTTGGAGCTATAATTTGCGCAAGTTGCAAACCCTTTGCAGCTTTGCGATCCATGCCCAAAGCACTGGCATTTGAAATTGAAACATAGACGGGGATTTGGCTCGTAGGGCCTGACACGAAGCTTACAGTAGCCGGCTTCAATGGTATCGGGCAAGTCACTAGTACCAGAGGTGATAATCAAGTGTTTGGTGGGTATTCCCTTTTTGTCTCGTCACATAATCATTCTCTGGACCTTGACTACATTATGGTCTTGCCAGCCTTCTAATAATTCACTTTCAGATAGTTGGAGGAGGTCATCATCAGACACCACACCGCCCACTGTATTCATAGACCTGTGCGGGCCTACTGAAACTGGGACGTCTCCGAATGCTACAAGTTTAGATAGGTTATCATATTGGAGCTTGTTGCATACCTCCAGGAGGAGGTTGCCGCTTCACAACTTGGTTACATTGTAGCCTGGGCCAATGGCTTCTGTGAGCGTTTTCGAAACAAGGAAAACCGAGATTGATCGGACTATTTTGTTTTCTTTTTAGCAGCACACAACATGGTGTTTTGGGAACGACTGCCTTGGTTCTAGGTGTGTGAAGCAGCGAATGCGGGGAAAAAGTGTTCCATGCAGGATATGTAATATTGGGCAGCGATGATGGCCACCCACCACCAAGCCTAACTAGGGGACGCTACAAGGTTGATTCACAAACACTTGGAGACGCCAGCCATGCATCGCTGCTATAACATAATGTATTTACCCAAGGTTGGATACCCAAACAAGGTTAACCCACGCCGCCAGGCAATCAGAAAGTAAATGGAAGAAAGAAGACGACAGGACAGATAAAAAATGTGAGAGAAAGACGAAGATCAGGGAAGAGAGATATAGGATAATGCGACTGCCAATTGCCCTTGGGTGGGTCAGCCCAGGGGTGCCGTCTACGTGAAGCCGGGGCCAAGGGGGTGTGTTGCCTCTGCCAGGGGGCCTTAAAGGTTCGATCACCCGATGTCGGCTCAACCCCCAGGATTTCCTTCTCCCTGGACACGGCTCAGCCACGAACGGCTAGGCGTGGGAGAGAATCGAAAGCCGCCCCCCCCCCCCCCCCCCCCCGTTAGCTCTTGTCCATGCTGAGCTACACACCAAACGCCTGCTTTCGCTGACGCCCCTGCGGAGATGTGACTCAAACTCACCGCGCGCTCTCTGCACAAGAACGTAAGCAAGCGGCAGCGCGTTGGCGGGAAGAAAAAACGCAGGGTATATATCCCCGATTTCTACCTTTCTATCAAAGATGACGCTGCCTGTCCAGAGTCGCAGCGCCACCATGCGTTGCTTTGGCTTCCTATTGCGCCGGAAACTGGAATACATAAAATACTAAGCAAGAAACAGGCCTCCCTCTAAAAAGGCATTGTCCTGATGCATAAAACAAAACATGAAAGAGTAAAGAATGATATGCACACAATATGAATTAGCGATGTTTTACCGCAATAGCATAAGTAGCCGCGCTTGAAGAAAAAAGCCATCTATGAGAGAAAAATTGAAATTTGCTTCTTTTCTTAATTTATCTTTGAAAAAGCTTTGTTAAATCAGTCTTTGTTCTAAATTCATGTTGCCAATTGCGTTGAATGTTCCTCATGAGTACCTGCCGAAGAATGTGAATTTTTAGTCTGGATTGAAAACTACAGTAAAAGCTCGTGAATTCAAACTCGAACGGGACTATAAAACTGTTTGAATTAAGTGGAGTTCGAATTTGCAGCCAGGCTACAAAATGAATGAACAGCGTGCCACACTGCGTAAGCAGAATCAAGAAACTCTTGACTCATTAGAACTCTAAACTTGACTCATTGAAACTTTCGACTTGACTTGATAGAACTCTTGAACCCAAGAACTCTTGGCTCGTTATCAGGAATTAGGTGCTGCAAACACATTTGCATCAGGTGATTTTGTAACAAGCTCATGGTGCTTGTTACAAATTTCTGTTTGCTGTTACAACAGCAAACAGAAATAATAGATCAGTCAGTGATGATTGGCCATACAGAAACAAGAATTTACATGCATTCCTGTGAGCTTTATGTAGAAATATATGAAACTATTTGTACTCCAAAGAATACATGCAAACTTGGATGGTGTATGTTGTGTCATGTGACTTTCGGTGTCATATGAAAAAAACTAACGTGTTAACATTATCTGTCCAAACCACTGGATGGGGCTAGGTTTCCAATGATGTATTTTCTGTAGCCAACCCAGCTGCTCCACGTAGGTCATGTGACCCCTGTCACGACAATCAATTACTCCTTTTCCCCCTCTTTAAAAACTGATGAATGAACTTTGAAAAAAAGACTCGCCAGTCTGGCCCGAAGCCTGTTTGTGTGTCACTCTACGCATACTTTCGTCGCTAGGCCTCTCCATCGGTGGGTCACGCCTACATCGCGCCCCCTGCCAATACATAATACAAAAGTGTATTGCTTCGTAAATAAAAAGTTCGCCACATTGACGCTAACAGACAATAGAATGCACATTGTACCGTGAGCTTCACGCAGCCCTAGACTTGAAATTCAAGGATTTTCAAGCACACTATACAATTCCAGGACCTTAGAGGCTTCTCAAACTCAACGGCTTCCCAGGTTTTGAAAGACTTGTATGAGCCCTGATTTGTGCAAACACATTGGATTGAAAACATTTACATTATAGATCCAATTTTTTTTTTTATCGCCGCCAGAAAATCAAGTAAGCAGCACCTGTCCCGCAGGTGTGCTGGAGGAGCGTCCACCTCCTCGGCCATGCAGCCGGATGACCTCACGAAGGGCTGTGGCTGCACCGTGCCTCACTTCCCAGGCAGCACTGAACAGGTCCTGGCAGAGAGCCTCCACAAAAGCCTCCAGGGGCCATTCATCCGAACACTGCTGCAGCAAGAAAAAGATAATTTGAAATCGCTCGTAGAGAAGAACAGGTAGCTTGCTTAGTCGGCACAACTTTCTCATATGAAACTGTGAATGCAAATAAACAACACAGGACAAAGGACATACACGCCACAAGCATTCATTCATAATGAATCTATTAAACAAAAAAAACAAAATACATATATGCAGTCGAACCATGCTACAACGAATGCAGTTTCAACAAAATTCCTGCTACAACGAAAAATTCACGGTTCCCCGTCAGCAGTCCGTAGGAGTCAATGCACAAATATTATCGTCCCAACGAAGACCTTTTCTTCTGCCATCCCGCTTCAACGATATTTCACGATATGATTTCGGGCTCAGATATTTATTGCATACAGCAAACCTAATCTTTAACATTTTGATGCATTTTCAGAACATGAAAATATGTTGAGCGATTAACTATAGACCCCGTAGCAGTGACTCGTGACCTAAAACGCAACTGAGGGATGAATAACTATCACTTTTATGGATTTATATCACTGGTATCTAGCACTATTCAAAACGGCCGGCAATCCCGCCATTTCTAGTGCTGGAAGTATCAGCAGTGGCAGTGGGTATCAGCATGAAAAAGAATGACGTCAGGCTCAGCTGCTTTGCAAACATTTCATCTACTAGACGGACACATTCAGTCATGCCTTGTCACCTGGGTTGGTGTCGTCGCCCTACAAAGTGTGCACTTCTATACGATAGTCTGGAGCTTGGAATCCCCGGGAATCGGGACGTCGCGAATTATTTTTGCTTCGATCGACCTTTTGCAGAACATTGATTCCGAAATGGATGCCGTTCCAAGCCGCATTGCAGAGGTGCCCGAGGATGCACGCTTCAGCCATGTTCGCTCGTGTATCTCAGTTAGCTACATAGGTGTGTTTTGACGTGCAAATCATTCAGGTATACGCAGAGCGGTCAGTGCAATATAGTTATTGCGAATGAGCATCAGCGGAGAAATAGAATACGTTTCCTGCTTGCCAGGTTCCTTTTTGCGCCTCCAGATGGCCCCACTTATTCTGCCTCACGCGGTTAACGCGGTTACCACTTTAACATGGACGCAAAGTCTACAGATAAACTAAAATTCAACGACACCTACGTGTTACTTGTTAGCGATGATATTTGACTATACGCGTTTCCATTTTTCATAGCTTGTGGTCGTGTTGATGTGTAACACATACAGGATATGAAGACACCCTCACTGCACTTTTTCCGTGCTTCAAACTAAACGACTGCAACTCACCAGCAACTCGCAACGATTCCCCGACTTGCTGAGCGACAAGCACACGTTTAACCATGCTCTTTTCTTTTGGCGTTCTTTTAAAGGTAGATTTTATCTCGATAATTTCACGAAACCATTCAAACCAATGCGACGAAGATCAGATGTGACTAGCGAGTGCGTTTCTGCGCTTCGGCGCGCCACGATAAGAACACTCGGATCGTACACATCATCGCTACTAAGGCATCGTCACTCAGAATGGTATTTGTGTAATGTATCACACCGAACACGTAGCACTAGTGTCGATGTCGCAGGGCAGCCGATTTTTCGTTTTTTCTGCTTAGCTTTTTTACGCTGTTTGATGTTCAAATAAAATAACTTCGACACGACGGAGGCCATTCAAATTTGGCCAAGAAGACCTATGCATACCAAGTGATTGAATGATGGGCACATCTCAATCTTGAAATTTGATGTCAGTGCTCCTTTAACTTAGAAAAACCGTGTCATCATCACTGAGGGGATGTTAGATTAGGCGCTGGTGTAAACTCTCCAAGACCATGGTGACGACGAATCTTCGAAGGTCAACTCGTCATGCGCTTCCGTCTTGCGCCGCACCTAAAGTTTGCAGGTTGATAGCTTTCGCGATTAGCCGATTAGTTCTGTCAACACGGCCGCACAATGAATGCAATGCAATAAATGCGATATCAAAAAATTGTAATGTTAGAAGATCTAAGGCTAGCAGCCAACTCTTTTGTATCCGATATCACGGAACTCCTACAAAACGCTGGTATGAGCGGATACAGCCGCTCCAGGAAGAACTTCTCTTTTCACACAGGCCCTTCGCGTAGAAACTGCACTGATGCTCGCCGAAATAGCAAGCGCACCAGCGATCGCGACCGCCCTTAAAATCAAAGTTCATTATTGCTACTCAACCAATTCCCCCCCCCCCCCCCTTGTTTCGTGCTCGATCAAAACGGGTGGTTTACTTTCTGTTTGAGCGTTCGACGGCAGTAGTTCTACCAGACGGGAGATGTTATCTTATGCACTTTCCAGGCGATAGGGATGAACGAACTCATTTGATGTCTGCTTCAGCAGCGCTTGCGCACTTTTACGCGCTTGTGAAAGTTTTGATGCGTGGGGACGTGCTATCAATTTGGACTTGTTACGGAAAGTGGTGGCGACGCCAAAAACCCACGGAAAGTGTCCATATAATTTCTATCGCAGTATTAACACAATTTCGTACTATAAAATATCTGTTTTGGTTTAGCTCTGCTTTCAGTTCCTTTTGCTTAATTTGCACGTTCATTTTTTTTTAAATTTTGTACCGAACTTGCATATAACAAAATTCTCTTCATAAGTTTTTCTGACAGTTTATCAAGTTATATACAGGTTATACCATATTGTCACGAGCAAAACAAGACCTGCAGCCAGGAGTTCACTTGAACCAGAGCAAGGAAGATGTTCTCTTCTTCTTCACAGCCCAAAAACGAGTATGAGCCACAGAGGCTCGTTCATCAATGGTGGCATTACCACCTCTCCCAAGAAGCATCGTCTCGATGCTGTACATGAAGGCAAAACAAAAGAAAAGAAAATAAGATGAAAATTAGCATGCGAGCAAAATGAATGGCCTAAGGCGGAATAACGTAGTTGCTTGTGGGGACAAAAGTTAAATGAGAAATAAGAAAAATAGGAAAAATGTAAGGAAAAGACGAAACGAAAAGAAAGACGCGAAGTTACCAATAAAGTTAGTCACTCACTGGCGATTCACAGCACGAAAAGTATGGTTTGAGACGTGAAACGTGAACGATTTCAGTTTGCGGGGTGAAACGGGAACGACTCGAATTGCCTTGTGAGAGAACCTCGTAAGTGACGTCGCTGAGACGTCGTACGACTTTGTAAGGGCCGAAGTAGCGGCGAAGAAGCTTTTCTGAACGTCCACGCTGTCGGATAGGGGTCCACACCCAGACTTCATCACCTGGCTTAAAAATAACTTCACGGTGGCGAAGCTTGTAGCGGCGCGCGTCTGCGGTTTGGTGATGTTGAATACGGTGACGAGCAAGTTGACGGGCCTCTTCTGCGCACTGCGCGAATTTGGCGGCATCCGTGTGGTATATTCCTAAGTTGTCGGGCAGAAGCATGGCGTCGAGCATCGTCGTGACGTTGCGACCGTGGACTAAGCGAAAAGGTGTGAGACCGGTACTTTCTTGAGCAGCAGTGTTATACGCAAAAGTTACATAGGGAAGTATGGCGTCCCAGTTCTTGTGATCGATGTCCACATACATTGACAGCATGTCTGCTATTGTCTTATTGAGTCGTTCAGTCAGCCCATTTGCTTGCGGGTGGTAAGCCGTTGTTTTACGATGTTCCGTGCCACTTAATCGCAAGACTTCCTGCAGCATCTCTGCGGTGAAAGCTGTCCCACGATCAGTTATGACGACAGCTGCAGCATCGGGACGTAAGACGATGCTGTTAACGAAAAAATGGGCGACACCTGCTGCGGTGGCTTTTGGAAGTGCCTTGGTTTCACAGTAGCGTGTTAAGTAGTCTGTAGCGACCACAATCCACTTGTTTCCAGACGAAGACGTGGCGAATGACCCCAGCAAGTCCATGCCAATCTGATGAAAGGGCGCCTTTGGTGGGCCTATTGGTCGTAAAGGTGGAATCTTACGTCGCTGACAGTCGCGACCTGTGCAAACGTAGTGCTTCACAGTCTTTGCGAGACGTGGCCAGTAGTAGGAGCATTAAATACGTTGCAGCTACGTGCTATACGTGCTATACGTGCGCATATAGCCGAGGTGTCCGGATGATGCCTCATCATGACACGCACGTAAAATGTCACCATGAAGCGTAGTTGGCACAACAAGCAGATACATAGCTTATGTAGGATGAAAGTTCTTTTTATAAAGCACTCTATCAAGGAAACAAAAGGAGGATAGTGAGCGTGCAAAGCTTCGAGAAAGGTGGGAATTGCGTCGTTCTAGGTAGTCAATGAGCGGGATGAGCTCCGAGTCGTGACGCTGTTGCTCAGCTAAGCGGGTTGCTGATACGGCAGAAAAAAAAGTGTCGTCGTCTTCAATGTCAGTGTTAGCATTTTCGACCGGTGCACGTGAGAGACAGTCGGCGTCGGTGTGTTTCCGCCCAGATTTGTGGACGATGGTGACATCGAAATCTTGTAGCCGAAGGCTCCATCGTGCTAGACGACCTGAGGGATCTTTGAGATTTGCGAGCCAACAAAGGGAATGGTGGTCTCTAACTACCCTGAATGGGCGTCCATACAAGTATGGGCGGAACTTTGTTATGGCCCAGACAACAGCGAGGCATTCCTTTTCGGTAGCAGAATAGTTTTTCTCCGCTGGGGATAAGGTTCTGCTCGCATAAGCGATCACGCGCTCTACGCCATTACGCCACTGAACTAATACCGCTCCTGGCCCAACGTTGCTGGCGTCAGTGTGTAATTCTGTGTCAGCGCTTTCGTCAAAATGACCCAGTACAGGCGGAGCCTGGAGGAGGTTTCGGAGGGTGTCGAATGCATGGCACTGATCGGGACCCCAAACAAACGAGACACCGTCTTTTGTTAGCTTGTTGAGGGGTTCAGCAATGTTCGAGAAGTTTTTGACAAAGCGCCTGTAATACGCACAAAGCCCCAGAAATTGGCGTAGGTCGCGCTTATTTGTGGGCACAGGGAAGGCAGCAACGGCACGGGTTTTCTCCGGATCTGGGCGGATGCCGGCATGGCTCACAATGTGACCAAGGAACT